GTGTTAATACGCTGGCCTGATTAATGAATAGCATACTAGTGTTCTTCATAATGTCTATTAATGGCGGCAGAGGACCAAGATATTTCTCGGCCTGTCGTTGATTAATGGGTAACATTTGATTGTAGAAGATGTACAGGTGACGCCATAATGTCACGAAATTCCATAATCTCTTCAGAAATGGCAAATTCGAGCCTGTGTGGTTTTCCATTTCCCATGTGCTCTCGTGAGAAGGGAGGACCAATCCGCCGAGAATGTATTCGTTCAGTGTATTCAGCCCTGACGAAGTTAATCCTACGATCATGAAAAATCCGTTCAGACCAATTCGTGATGCAGATGTTTACGTTATTGTTGTTAACCTAACATTTTCATAATTACGAAGACAAAGGTTGCGATTGATATATTAGTTTGAAATGAAATAACTTTAATTCTCTTAAATGTACTTTGTCGTGAGAATGAAATTACGTATTGAAGTACGTAAAGTCAATAAATAAATTGATCATCGGGTTTTCTCATCGGAGAAATTCTTTCAAAATAGTAGTTGTGAAAATGATGGGGGAATGTATTATTTAAAAGTATTACATAATAATATTATTAATAATTTATTTAGATGTTCCTGGTGACTCGTTTAGCAAATTTAAATGAGATGTTAAACTAGTTTGAAAACTAATGATTTTAAATTTCAAATTAAGCTGAAATAATTCTAGGAATATTATCTACAGTACGAATAATATTATATTTTTTAATTAGAGGATTACCAGCGTTTTAAATGTGATGTAAATGGTGAAGGGCCTTCAAAGCTCAGAGACATATAAATCATGAAGACACGTATTTTTAATTGTTTTTTCTGAAAAATTTCTTTTTCTTTGTTGCGTAAGTTTCTTAACGAAATAGTTTGTGAAGGTGAAATAATAAATAATCTGATTATTTAATTTGATAATGTGTAAACGTACGTATATTTTTATATTCATACTGTATTATTGTTAATAAGTACTGTGACGAACTGTTACATTTTCGTGAGAAAATGATCTGGAAGGTTAGAGTTTACAATGTGCATCATTCTATTCGTCATTCTATTCGACTTTGACAAAGACTCAAAAGGTCTTAATATTCCATCGAAGTTCAGTGAAATAGCGGGAATGGAAAAAAAAAAATCAAAATTTGCAAAATAATTATAAAGTAAATGAAAACATCAATCTTTAGTGTCACGGTGAATGTAGATGGCGAAAATTTTTTTTAAAATTCGAAATTTCATGATTCATTGCACGATGTGAAAACGAACCTACGCTCAGCGTTGTCAACTTCACTTCTTAAAACATGGCAAGTGGATTTTTTCCATGAAGTTATAACGCTTTCGACAATATTATCATCGTGTTTTGTCCGTCACTACGAAATGAATTGCAGTCGCCAATAGTCATGAAAATTTGCTTAAAAAAATACCTATTATAGGGACGTTAAACCGATGTGCAAGGCCTACGATGGCGGGCCCGTATTGGTATTCCGTCAGAAGGATGTCGAACTTTGCATCACTGTCGGGAGCGTACACCTTTTTAAATTCCGTATTGTTGAACACGTTTTCCGCGCAATCCAAGGTGATCGGTATCCCGTAATTTTCTATAATTTGCAACCATGAATCACCGTTGAGCTTCATTTCAATTAAGTTTAGTGCCCTAAATATTTTGTAAGACTGGCTAACGTCGATCTGCGTGAAATTCGTCGAGTTGATGTTCGGTATTGGATCCGTCGTGACCAGCAGAATTTCGTGGCCTCGGTTGTGTAGCTCCAGCCATAATCGTCGGAACGGTATTTGATGGCTGTAAGACGGTGTTGCTATGATTGCTAGGATCTTGTAGCATTCCGACTGTTTGGCGACGCACAAAACGCACAAAACGAAGAAGAGAGTGGTGATACTTCGGTTCATACTTCCCGTGTTCAACTATTTCAATTGCCAATTGTGATTCTACTAAAAAAAAGGCATGGACACGTATGCTGACGATACGATATCGGTTGAAAATGTAATTTGGAAGAAGGATAGCCGTTATCTCCGAATTTCAGTCTAATGCCTTTGCTACTGTTTTTAATGCATTTTCTGTGTCACGTTAATCGCTTTGATTACATATTTATGTAATACGTTCTTAACCTATTCAGCGATGGTTAAATTACACAGTGGATTTTTACAGGGTAGAATCTGGTTTATACGAGGCGGTTAGGTTATACGCGCTTGTAATTAATCAGTTTTTGTTTATCTGTATTTTATTTCACTACTCAGGCAAGTAAGTGTAAGTTATGGAGATAGCTCTTTTGGACGATTTTGTCCACCGACGTGTTGGGACGAACCAGATTCCGCTATATTATAATTTCTTTTAGTGTAAAATCTAGCACGATCTATATTTTACAGAACATTTTTCCTTTGTTTCTATTCACATAACACGCTTTTGAAGTTTCACTTCATAAAACATTCTGGTAAAAATTAAAAAATGTATCTACGTATATTTTTCCTATGTAATTAACTTCATAATTAACAATATATAATTAACTTTAGTTTCACGTTTATGACTTTTGCTATGTTTTTTGTACAATTGTTGCGTTTCAGTTATCAATCACTTTTGTCAGACTGGAAATTTTGTTTCTTTCAACTGTGCCACAGGGATTTTTAACACACGTTCGTAAAGATTGGAAATTATTAGTTTCGTCGACTAAATGCATTGCCAACAATATTGACATGTTGCGTCTAAATTCTTGAAGTATTCTGCCTTTTGTTCTCGTTGTCGATAACAGATTACACGTTACATATCCGTTTTGAGAACGATCGGTATTGATAATTATAGATACAGGAATAAATGAAGTACTTTTACAAATGCATCAAACTTACTTACACTATCGACTGTAAGTGTCAAGACATTTTCTCGTTATATTTACTAAAACAATCTTACTAAAATAATCAAAATTTCTTTGACCTGAATTGATAAATTTTTATTATTATTGATACATGGTAGCCTTATCAAGCATATAAGTATTCGTTCAAATGCAGCATTTCACTTTTGCTTACATTATCTCATTTAGTGACGTGGAAATTTTCTACGTTGAAACTGCAGATTCCGAAATGAGAACGAGATAACTAATTAACTAAATAAATATGTATATATAAAATAGCAATAGAAGGAATCACCTATTTCTAATAATAAGTGATATTTTAAAGCTTACAACTCACATTGTGTATGACGATAACGTATTAGTATTCCATAGACTGATTTGTAGTTTTAGTGTAATTCTGTCTGAGCGAAAATCGTTATCAATTGATGATAATTTTTAATAAATTTACAATTTACTTATTGAAAATACCAACGATATTCTAACATTAATTATGCCTCTCGGGTATCGTTGGTCTTTCGATTCGGAGCGATTCGTCGTCGTGAAACGCTTGGCAACTATTTCTTCAACTCACTCTTTCGTCGATATGAAATATTTAAGCTACGATTGTCTGAGGCTAATTTAACGTGCTACACTTAACGTTCGGTTAATTCATCTTCAGTTTTTGAGACGGAGAGGTTTGTCTGTGCAAGTAGACGATGAGCTTGGCAATTAGGTTGAATGTACTTGAAGCAATCACGAAAGCTACGATCGTCAAGAACACTATGATGTCCAAATCGTAACGTTGATACCAAGGTTGGAAACTAATATTGGAGCGAAGATGGGTCGCTCCTTTCGTACGGATCACATATTCCGTCCACCAAGCGAGATTTTTCACTATGTCGTAGGGCGTGTCTTGTACGATGTTTCGGATATTAATCATTCTCTCTTTGTACCTGAAAACAAATGCAACAGTTAGAGCAGTTAGAAATTGTTACGTGCGTTACTTTAAAGGGAACGTTTCAATTAAATATAATAATTTCGCAGAAGCCTTCTGCGTGACAAAGAGATGACGCATATTCTGTGAAAGCAGAGAAGTTGCAGGAAATGCAATGACTTTCAATTCAGAATCAAATATTATCGAAAGTAATGGCCACGTTCTAATTCGTAGAGGCTAAATTTCAAGTGTTCGAAAAATTTTTTAAAATTAATTCAATTAAATAAGTTAATGAGAAAATAAATTAATAATAATTTAATTAAATAAGTTAATAAGAAAATAAATAAAGTTCTCGTTATTCATCGCTGTTGTTTCCACGTCAAGAAGAAACTTTGATAAAAATTGATCCTCCAACACCAGAGACATAAACGTTTAAGATCTTAACGATCTTACAGTTATATGAAATTAATAACACGAAAACTATAAAACGTAAATATAAACTCCGAAATTAGAGTGTCACAATTAGATCAGGGATACGATGGTTTATATAATTAAATGAATTATATTATATAAAACAGTCTCGTCAGCTCCCACTATTTATACTTATCGTTTTCTGTTATTGAAGCTAAATGGGACTGATAGGCTGCTCATGCCATGCGCGTTCTTATAATTCATTTCGCATTTAAGTATCACAGTTTATGCAATAAGAGTTCTGCTGCTTATTTATATAAGTGAAATTGATAAATTAATAGTTTATTAATTTTTTCACAAATCTATTTTTATGACAAATTCTACTATTTAGCATGTAAGTTCCACGTACTCGTTATTTACGAAGACACTGTAATAAAAATATTATTTCCTGAACCGAGTTGATCAACAACTCAGTGAATAATAATCTTTAGAAATATATGTAACATTGCACATATTCATGTTATAGGATTACATATATTTACGGATCGTTTGATCTGATGAGTTAGACGTATTATTGAATAGAATCATATCATTGACTCAAATGATATGTAATAGTTAGAAAAATTCAAAGTTTTCGTAGTGTTGAATTTTTATGAGCTTAATGTGAAACTAATTCATTCTCTGTCTTTTCATACTTGAATTTGGCCAAGTAACAGAAACAAGACAGGAGATGCTTGAATTTAATAATCTTAATCGTTTGATATCCTTACCAATGGTGCTGATGATCTATTTATAATACGCTATAATATACTATGCATGGATATAAAGTAATTATGATAAGTATATAAAACAATTACATTTCTGTCTCAGTACATAGAAATTAATATAAATTTCTCCAAGGGTATCCACCGGTTTCTAACGATTGTAAAAGCAAAAAGGCTTCCAAGACTCTGTAATTTTCAGTAATTTTTCTCCAGCGTCATACACTCGATGTAGCTGAATTAATAATATGTACATACCCTCTGTTAGTTACAAGCTCGATGATACTACTCTCAAGTTCGCCTTTCGTGACGGTTT